CACAACAACACAGAAGTGGTAGAGCCATGCTGCAGCTATATTACTAGTATAGTTAGTTGTAGCACGAATGGGTCAATGAGGCAATCTATGAGGGAGGCCTATGTTCAGCAGTGGACTTTAATAGACTGTAATGGATGGATGTATTGAAGGGAATCTACCAGGAGCACATGATCCACTGAGAGGTGAAATTTTCAAATCAACAGTAACATTACAACTAAGGCAAATATCCCCCAATGAGGCAATCTATGGGGGTGGCCTATGTTCAGCAGTGGACTTTAATAGGCTGTAATAGATGAATGTATAGAAGATTATGTACCAGGAGCACATGACTCACTGAGAGATGAAATTTTTAAATCAACAGTAACATTACAACTAAGGCAAATATCCCCCAATGAAGAAATCTATGGGGGTGGCAATCTATGTTCAGCAGTGGACTTTAATAGGCTCTATTACGATGACGGTAATTTATATATTAAACTCAACGATACAGAGTAAAATCCAAGTGAGTAGGCTTTTTTTTATAGGATAAGGTGACAAAGGAGCACACAGTCCACATGATGGTAAGTGGTTGCTGTGGCCCATAGACATCTACATCTATCCTCGTTTGCGAATCAAAATGCAGATACGTTGTCATCCGTGAGGACTAAGATAGAATGCCTCTTTTCCAGTAAAAAGGGTCTCCGGTTCTCTATACTCACCATACGAAACACAGCAGCGTTAAGCTGCTATTTTACGCTGGTATTCTGTGAGAGCGTGGTCCTTCCCCGGTTGAGCCGACCCATTCGCGGTACAACTATACTCCTAATATAGCTGCAGCATGGCTCTACCACGTATAAAACCTCACATACATACCTCACAGTCTAATTAAACTGGCTCTCAATATTGTTCCATACCTTTTAGACCGGGACATACACGAACGGCAGAAATAGGTAAGAGGATACCAACTAAAATGAAATCTGGAGAGAAATAATCATCTTCAAACCATTTTCAATATTCTGATACTTGGCAATATGCCAGTTCAGTGGGCAAGTCACTTCAGGTGATCCTCGCAAGAAGTCAATGAGGGCATTCACGACTTTTTTGACCACCAGGGCGGCGCCACTAAAGCGTGAGGTAAAATACTTGACAGCTTTCATAACGGGGGAAGTTAATTTGCTGGAAAACCGTAGGGATTAATGTTTCTTTCTGTAATATTAATTATAATTTATGTTAATTGGATTAGAAATGCATAAATCAAACCATGGATACAAATAAAAGTAGAAGAATTGAAAAAAAAAAGTTTGAAATGTGTAGAAAATTAGGGAATACAACAACGAGGCATTGTTTTTGTATTAATATAACTCTCTAGAAACTGAGACACTTTTGATTTAAACTAACTTCTCAGTTAAATGACATTGTGTAACAAAAAAAATCACTTAATGATTTCTTATATTTACGCGAAGACTAAACATTAAATGAAACAAATTTTTACGTATTTTATCGCGTTTAATTTAATTTTTTAATTCCGACGGTGACCGGGGACGGCTGAATTTAAAAGTTAAAATAAACGCGATAAAATACGTAAAAATTAGTTTCATTTAATTAAAAAAATCACCTCAGTCCCAGCTAGCGACATCTGGTGAGCGTAAAATTATTAGCCTTCAATACTGTCCAATATTTTTTTAGGCCAAAGACCACGACGGAAGACGTGCCACCGGTATATGACTATATGTTCGTCGACTCCAACATGAAATCTCAAGGTGGATGTGAACTTGTTCCGGCAAATTTAACCTCGCCTAGAACTGGTCAGAAGCCGTGGGTTAGTAAGGTTTTTTTAATTTTGTTTTCATAAAATAAGGATGGCAAACGAGCACACATGTCTAGCTGATGGTAATTGAATGCTCTAACCTATAAACGTTTACACCTTTGAATCAAACTGCAGATGCGTTGTCACCCGTGAGGACTAAGATGGAATGCCTCTTTGCCAGTAAAAAGGGTCTTCGTTCCTCTACACTTACCATAGGAAACACAGCAGTATTGAGCTGCTATTTCATGCTGGTATTCTGTGAGAGCGTGGACCTTTCCCGGTCGAGCCGACCCATTCGAGCTACAACCAGAATATAGCATGGCTCGATCACGTATATTTTTCTACCGTCATCAAAAAGCAGACGGTACTCAATTCGAATGTATGTTTTTTTTTCATAACTTTTTCTACGTGAACCGATTTCGAATGTTTTTTTATTTGAAAGCTGGTGAATCACATGTGGTCCCATATAAATTTGATCAAGGTTTGACCAATAGTTTTTGAGTTATTCTTAATAATATATATTGAAGTCGGTTGTACAAAATTTTTATATATATAATAATTCCAGTAAGGTTAGAAGTAAGTATTAGTAAAGTTTATCGACAAGAAAGGGGTGAAGACACCCCCAAGGAAATTGCTAAAATAGAAGAGGCAGTAACTGGAAAAAGTGTCGCATTTACACACGTTGGTACAGTGTTTTTCTCATAGATTTATTTTGTCTCCTGCCAGAATGCATCGAGTACCAGGAAAAGTTGGTATATCCCTGCGTGAAGGCCCCTTCCGGGGAGAACGCCCGCGTTAACCGTTGCACTCACAACGACGAACAACTTATTGTCGACGGAGTCAACCCGGACCGAGCAGAGTTCCCTCACATGGTAACGTTCTGCATGCTTTATAAGAGTTTGTAAACCCTACCAGTTTTATACAGCTTATCAATACGGTTATTGTTACAGCCAAATAAAGTCCACTGCAGAACATAGACCTCCACCATAGATTGCCTCATACGGGGGATATTTGCCATAACTGTAATGTTACTGATGATTTAAAAATTTCACTTCTCAGTGGGTCATGTGCTCCTGGTAAATTATCTTCTATACATCCATCCATTACAGCCTACTAAAGTCCACTTCCACATAGGCCTTTCATCATAGATTACCTCGTACGGGGGATATTTGCCGTAGTTGTAATGTTACTGTTGATTTGAAAATTTCACTTCTCAGCGGGTGTGCTTCTGGTAGATTATCTTCTATTCATCCATTTATTACAGCCTAAACTGCTAAACATAGTGCCTCTACCTACTAGATTGCGAATAATAAAAAAAATTGACGCCTGGCTGATGTGAAACATCGAAAAACGAAAAAAAAGGATATGGTTACGGCCCGCAGCTGCCCCTGCAAAGTCGCCTTTGCTGGGGCCCATAGCAGCCTGCTCGACGGGCAGACGCGGGTCGGGCCCAATGGCCATATGAAAAGAATTCCTATCATATTAAACTATATGGGAGTGCTAGGAAAATATAGTACTTACCTGTTTCCGACTCTAATTTCGCCCCAAGGCTCGGTCAGGCCGTAAGTGGGTGTAAGGTGAATGGCAAGTAGTGTTTAGTGATGTGTACGTGTCTGAGATCTGGACCAGCTTAGGCGACCAGCAGCGGCCGAGTTCCAGGCTTCCCCACAATGCTGCATCGCTCCAGCAGGCTCCACCGCTGGACCATTTCTTTCTTCATTGTCACTATTTCAGTCTATTAGCTTCATTGTACATTTAACTAACTTAAACTCGCCTAATTCCACATTCATTGTAGAATCGAACACGTGATACCCGACACAGTACGGACAGTAGTTCAAAATTCGACATTCAATATCCCGGATTCACTTATCACAAAATTATTAATAGGGAACTAACGCGATCTCTTAATGAGTCATACGGTTCAGCGTTAAACACAACTTTTTTTTTTTTTTTAAATTTATTTCAACAATGTAACAGTTTTAATTACAATATAATTTCTTCGTGCCATTAAACACAATTGTGTTTGTCTTGGCACTGCACAGTTTGCTCTAATATGTTATACATTATACTTTATTTTACATAATATTGAACTTAACCTTTACTTAACCTAAATATAAAATACCATATTACAATTGTGTGAGAGAATATTAAGCGTTTTTTGTACTTACATAATTTTATACAAACTTTATATTAGATATTTCTAAAACTATTTTTTTTTTTATGGAGAGGGTAGTTTTTGATATTGTTTACAAGAAATAAGCAAGAATGTGAATATTATTGTCTTCGATTGTTCGACTCGCTTATACACTATACTGCAAATTAATTACGCGCGTACACACGGAATGCATTTTTAAGGACTAGTTTTTTTTTTTTTTTCTTTTTTTTTCTTTTTTTTTTTCTAACTAAGTTCCTTCATTCGACACCAAAACACCACGCCAACACACAAAAAAGGGCACTTAACGCGACTGCACAATTATAATGATTTCCAGATAATCAACCGGGAGACGCTCTCGAACAAGGAATGCGCGGTTCGAATCTTAGACCGTATATCTACTCAGCGCGCGCATGCGTAATTCCGCATCATCCGAACAAGTTAAATATTGCAAAATTCACATATCCACGGAGCGAAGTAACACGCACTAAATCTAACCATCTGGACCCTACCGGTCGCGTGAACTTCGGCTGCGATAACCTAGGTACGCGGATTCACCGCATCGCGGCCAGCGAGCTAACTGACTTCGCCCACGAGCGTCACACGCTGGGAAGCTGCCTACCGCCCCCCCTCCCCTCGATGCGCGTGACACCTGGTGCCATCGTGCGACTCACGAAGTCGAACGTGATTGGATATCGTACAAATTACCTTTTTTGGGCCTAAACAGATATTTTACTCTTTTATTATTTATTTTTTACTTTTATGAATATCTGTGGTTTGGTTTATTTACTTTTAATCTAATTAATATTAATTATAACTAATAGTAAAGAAATAAACATTTTTTACCTTTGCATTTTCCGAACCAATTAACTTCTCCGCAATAAAATCTGTCAAATATTATACCTCATATTTAAGTGGTGCCGCCCTGGTGGCAGAAAATGTTGCGAATGCCCTCATTAAGATAATACAGATTGAGTTGACGTAGGGTAGGTGTACGTTATGTGAGCTTCTTAGTTTCAGACAGCTTCGCTAACATCCATCCAATAACTAGTTTTCTGACTGATGAATTTATCTTTACACGCTCTACTCGGGTTTGGCAGTGACGTGAACGCACTCCAGTGGCAGTGTAGTGGCTCCATCATCAGCGAACGGTTTATTTTGACAGCCGGTCACTGCACCTATACACGTGAACTGTAAGACCCTTTCTTACATTTTTAGCTCGGGAGCTAAAATAGAATAGTGTGGAATATAATGGAATAGAATGTAATAATAGAATACACATAGAATAGAATAAGACAGAATAGGATGGAATAGAATAGAATAGGATGGAATAGAATGGAATGAAACGGAATGGAATGTAATAAAGCAGAATGGAACGAAATGGAACAGAACAGAATACTTTTAATTTAATTTTTAATTATTTTTTATTTATTATAGATTGTAAGAATACTTATTGAAAATCATTCATCATACTTTTACCACTGCACTGGTTCGAATAAAAAAAAACCTTTGTCCCGGGAATAACTAACAACAAATTCGGCGGGACTCTATTTTAAAGTAAAGGAGTAAGTACTATGTCGTATGTTATAGGTTTAAGTTACTAAAACCTTTTTAGCAGAGATGTAAACTGTACTTACCTAAACCTACAAATTAACCTAATTTTATAAAGAATGCGTTGACATAGTAAGCTCTGATAGACGTTTTGTACATATGTATATATTTTTTATGGTAAACTTGTAACTGGTGGAAGAAAAATAGTCCATTTGTCAGTTTTTTTTACCGCTTCTTCTTACAAGGTCTTAGTAAAGACTTGTTGAAGCGTTTTTGTTACTTTTGACTTGTACTCGTAAAGGCCGGTTTTGAGTAATAATATTTTCAGGTCGAACGAAGTTCTTAATCGCACGGTACGAATGTGACGGATGAGGGCTAGGCGCGAAAAAGTGTAAGATTTTTCCGTCACGTCCCCGTACTTCCGTATAGTACAAGCGAGATGGAATAATATCCATCTCCCTCGCACTTCTTCATATTTTTCCATGAAAGAAATATTACCTAGTCAGGTCATAAATTTTATCACATGTTTAATATAAAATAATTGAAACAAGTTTATTCATTATGTAACCATTTATATACCAAAATGAACTTAACAAAACATAGATTCTTATGACACTAAAGTTTATTCTAAATGACCTCCGTGATTTTGAATACAGGCCTTTAATCTGCGCGGCCAGTCGTCTATCGCAGCACGAACGAGGTCCATGTCAATATCGGCGGCTGCCTTAATCAAGGATGTCTTGAGTGACTCCAAATTGGGATGAGGCTTTGAGCACGCCTTTTCCTCCAAGTGTTGCCATATCTTATAATCTAGCGGATTCAAATCTGGACTGGAGGAGGGCCAGTCTTCGTGCCGGATGAAGTCGATTTCATGCGCCGCCAGCCAGTCTTGTGTGCTCTTCGCTCTATGAGCTGGCGCTGAATCTTGTTGGAATACCCAGTGCCTGTTATTGAACATGGTATGAGAAACAGGTTCCACAAGGTTCGTCAGGACTGTATTTTGATACACAACTGCATTCGTTTTTACACCTTTCTCACAAAAATGTACCTCTGTTAAGCCCCAATAAGAAACTCCCAACCATACCATGAGCGAGGATGGAAAATGACCTCGTTGGACACGCGGAATACGGTTGCTCGCTTCTTTACTACTGTGTGTGTACACCTTATCATTTTGTTTGTTGTAGCTCTCTTCTACGGTAAAAATTTTTTCATCCGAATAAAGAATTTCCCGATATTTTTTTCCCGCGTACCGCTTCAACAAAGCGTGGCATCTCTTCATTCTCAGGTCCATTAGACGAGCATTCAAACGATGTCCTGTTCTTCTTCGATATGCCCGAAGCCCTAAGTCTTCATTTAACACCCTTTTCACCGTGGTTCTGCTTAACCCCATCTGAAGGACCAACAGTTTCTGCTTACGTTTGGGATTTCTTTGAATTCGCGCCTTCACAGCTTTTATCACTGCTGGAGTCCTAACAGACCGAGGGCGACCACTTCTTGACCTGTCATCTACACTAGAATCTTCATTGTATCGTTTGATGGTACGATAAACGAATCTTTTGGTTATATTCAAATTTTTCAGTATGTCAAAAATTTGAATTGCCGCGTAACCGCAACGATGCAACGCAATAACTGCAACACGGTCGTCTTTAAGCGTCCACTCCATATTTAAAAATGAGTAAAATGCTAAAAAGTATACAGTTTTATTTTCATGAACAATTCGAAATTCGAATTCAATAAACTTTTTTGTGGCCAGCATTCTAAAAGAAAAGTTTTTACTGTGTGACAATACTTATGACCTGACTAGGTACTTACGCTAATAATTCACTTATTTGTATTTGTTAATCAATAATATAATACCTAGGTTTATCAATAATAATAAACTACGAAAAGAACTTCGTTCCAACTGAGTGTTCCACGACACTCACGCATGTTTTTTTGTCTTAGCAACCACTTAGAAAGAGATGACATTCCTTTTTAGAACCTCTCTTTTTGGGTCATTTTTGTTGCGAAGGAAACCTTCTAGTTCTAATAATACTCGTAATTCTAAGATAATACGAGTACCATTTTCTAAAATTCCAAAGTTCAAAGTTTCCAAATGTGTCAAAGTTATCATTTTGAAACATTCCAGAGGTCCAGTTACGTACGCACTGGTGGACATCCTGAGCAGTACTGAACACGTGGACAGCAGCCAGCGCTACAAGATCGTGAGGATCATCGGGCATCCCGACTACAAGCCGCCTAAGAAGTACAATGATATCGCTCTGCTGCAAACGGAGGTTGAGTGGGTATCCGAAAATATACGTCTAATATTTGTAACTGCTCACCAGATGTCGCTAGTTGATATTGAGGTAAAGTTTTAGTTTTGAGAGTTCTATCAGACAGGAAGCCCTCACGCGAATACACTATGTATACACAAGAACCGATATTTTTTTAAATATGAAACGCAAACTTTCAACGAAGATGACACTGTGTGACCATCTGCGTGAAAAATAAGTTCACCTCAGTTCCAACTAACGACATCTGGTAAGCGTAAGATTAGCTAGCCCTCATTAAAAACATTTCAGTATGACCTTGAACGAGAATGTAGTCCCGGCTTGGCTGCAAGTCGACACCTCCTGACGAGCGCGCATTAATAGCGTCTGGGTGGTGGACAACCCAGAACGGGGGATCCGGCGCGGATATACTCTAGAAAGTATGTAGAACTTGTTTGGAACTGTATATAAATATTGTTGCGTCATGTATTACGGCGGGTACCAAATCTCCTTGTCAACTGAGTCCGTTTTGGTAAGTATATTTTGAAGTAAAAACTTCTTTAGCCGCGTCGAGCGATTTTTGGTAGGGGAAAAACTTATGGGTTCGCGTCACCGATGACCTTCACACGTGACAGTGATGTATTGCGCTTGTGTCAGACTAGCGACGCGTAGTATAGCGGCCTGTGTACATAAGCATATACACACTAATATATTGTATATATCCGACTGTATCATATGCGTGTTTGACTTTTTGCATGGGTAAAAATCTTGTGATTTCGCGTCACCGGCATGCTGTAATAGCAGTAATGAGCATTAAGTGAAGATGTGTTGACAACTTAAAATGTCTTATTTGTCTATACTGTGCATTGTTTTAATGAGGGCTAATAATTTTCTGCTCACCAGATGTCGCTAGTTGACACTGAGGTAAAGTTTTTTTGTTACACGATGTTATTTAATTGAGAAGTTGGTTTTTAATAAAAGTTTATCAGTTTCTAGCGTTTTATATTAATACACAAAACAATGCGTCAGTGGTTTGCTCTTTAATTTTTTGCACATTTTTGACATTATTTTAATTTTTCTACTTTTATTAATATCTGTGGTTTGGTTTATTTTTTTAATCTTATTAATATAAAATATAACTAATAGAACAGAAAGAAACATTAACCTTTACATTTTTCGAACAAATTAACTTCCCCGCTTTGAAATCAGTCAAATACCTCAATTTCTAACGGCACCGTCCTGGTGGCAGAAAAGTTGTGGATGCCCTCATTGTGTTTTCGATAATCATTATTTGCATTGATTAATTGTAGAATCACTGTGCAGTACAATAGTGAGTACTTCATAGACTCATATGTTTATGTAGAAAAATAAATGACAAAAACAAAGTATTTATTGTCGAATATTTCCAACATTGTTATTGATGTTTGCGTTGAAAAAAGTTTTCACTTCTGACGTGTAGTTCTACGGCTGACAGTTTTATTAGTTGTTATTGTTTAAATCGTACTTCTCTAGGATTTTTCCTTTATCGTGGGTTTTTCTCCTGTGTAGTTTACATAGATAAATTTCACATGAACAAGCATCTAGACCTGGAACAGTTATTTGTAGGCCATACAAATACTTGTTCCGGACGGGATTCAAGCCCGCGGTCCTTAGCTCTGTAACTAATTGCTAAGCCACTGCGCCACGGAGCCAGGGCTCTATCACTTGCTCAAGGTCTCGCGTTATACTGCTGCACGCTTGAAGATTCTTGCAAGATGAGTATTTTTGGTAATTTTTAACCATTAAAATAAATAGTTAAACACATTTATTAATTAAATAAAATTGACCACAATGAATACAATTATGATAATATCTGATCAATTTATTACGAGTATTAAAATTCACGATTTCATGACTTACCAATTTTTATTAAACTTTTTATTGACTTTAAGATTATCTAGCGCCTATTTTACGTACTTCTGAGATCCTCTTTAAACTGTGGTAATACTGTCGCCTTGAGAGTCAAGTGTCAACCAATTTTTTCGATAAAATCATAGAGAGATGGACTGAGCGTTAGCCTCACAAAAGTGACTATTCTCTAGAAAGAGACAAAGCGACTGCGCGGGGTTAATACCTGTCTCTTTTTCTTACAAGCCTGATTGCGTCACTGGCTTGCAGGACGTGGATCATTCAGAATTCTGGAAAGAGACAACTACAGTGGACCACCGGTAATCCGACATACATTTTGCAGGGCAGTGTCGGACTATCGAATTTGTCGGATTATAGTGTACTGCCTAAGACTATATTCCGGAATTTTTTATAAAAGAGTACCTTGTAATCCGACAAATTCCAGATCTAATGATAAAATTCTATATATTATATATATGTACTCTGAAGACCGCACCGCTATATTCATCACATGTATGTAGTCAAATTCAAACTAAGCAATCAGAATCAAAACAATACCCTACGCGTCGAGCACAATAGTGGTGGTGCGTACAAGTTATAACTTGTTCAATCATGCATTTGCGAAGATTGTCAAAAAATATCTAATAATAAATAATAGACCATGTCGGACTGCAGGGGGTGCCGGATTAGACAGGGGCCAGATTATCGGGGGTCCACTGTACTGATCACAATATCGCTTTGTTTCTATCGCACTTTTCGATATGTATTCACTGCACAACTGAATACGGAACGCCACCATGATTATATACTTGTATTAATCAAAGAGAATGAAGTAGATGACGCATTAAAATTGAATACATTCAAATTAGGCTCTACTGCACTAAGCTTAAGGACTATATTCATTTGATATAAAATTTAACAATTGTCATAATACTTATCATGAATAAAAATATCGTTTGAAATGTTCATATTAATTTTATTTTAACAGATAGAAAAAAATATTTATAGTTGTCACGCCTATTTAATCTGTGGCACTTCTCATGATCCGTAATAAGTATAATTGCCTTGGCATATGGTCTGACACAACTGGTTACATCGCCTACGCGGATTCCAGATATTGAGGATCATACACCTTCCCTGTTGGACCTTCTGCTGAGCTGACCTCTCATCCGGACGGATATCAGGTTTCCGTCGAAGCCCCTCTTGGCTCTTCGGACCATTGTCTGATCCGGAGTGTGGTGCCACTCACGCTCCCCTCGCGGCTGCGTTCTGCAGGTTGCCGCCGTGTTTGGCATTACAGGTCAGCGGATTGGGACGGAATGGGGTCTTTCTTTGCTTCCTGCCCATGGGGGCGAGTTTGCTTCTCGCCGGATGATCCCAGCGCTGTTGCTGAATCTGTCACTGATGTGGTGCTACAGGGCATGGAACTATTTATTCCATCATCTTAGGTACCCATCGGAGGCAGATCTCAGTCTTGGTTTGGTCGCTCCTGTAAGACTGCATTACGCAGTAAGCAGGAGTGTTATCAAGCCTGGGCTGCGGCTTCAGCGACTCGGGATGAAAACACCAGCATACTTAAAAAGAAGTATAACTTCACCTCCAGGTCCTTCGAAAGAGTTATTACCAGGGCAAAGTCAGAGGACATAGGCAGAATTGGCGAGAAACTAATTCGCCTTCCTTCGGGAACCCGTGCATTCTGGTTTCTCGCCAAGGCTGTCCAAGGGAATTTCTGTAAGCCATCACTACCATCTCTGCACAGAAAAGAAAGAAAAGAAAAGAAAAAAACATTTATTCACGGTCTAATCACAATAGATACAAAACAAAGCAAAAAAATAGAATTAAACAGAAAGTAAAACAATATTTCCCTAAATTAACAAAAATGTAAAAATAATATAAAATGAGTCTGTGTAGCAGCATAAGACCGTGAAATGGACAGGACTCAGTAAAAATCGAGATACAGAAACACGAATTGCTCTGATCCCGACACTGGTTTTCAGTCCGGCCCGCACTCCGAGGTAACTCGGACGGCTGCCTCAGTGCACATGCTATAATGCGACGCGGAATATATAAAAAAAATATGTGTTTTTAAAATTTTATTCACATGAATAGTGGATATCATTAGTCTAATGAAGGTAAGTACACAATAGAATTAACGTATTCCTTCTAAATATATCAATTTTATTTATTAAGAATGCGGAATAAACGTTGGCTAAAAAATAAAGGTAAGAAAATGATTGTCAGAAAAAATAAATTTATTATACAAATATTTAAATAAAATAGTTTTATATATTATATAAAGTGAAAATTAAAATATCTACATAATTTATGGGACTGAGATTACTGACGTGTTGAAAGAACTTAACCTCCTACCAGTTTTTTTATAGATCGGTATTTTTATGTTCCGAAAGTAAGTGTAACCTCTATTTGATTTTAAACCCACTAATTGTTTTCAGGTCACGCAATGGAGGCGGGAGGTTATTCCAACATTTAGTGGCATTATATTTAAAACTACCTCTGAAAGCGGCCGACCGGTAGAAAGGATATACTAACTTGTAATTGGATGATCTGGTATTATACTGCTTATTTTGATCTTTAGACCAAATCAACTTATTATATAAATATAAAGGTTCTTTATTTTTAATAATACCAAACAAAAATGATGCAAAGTGTAGTCGCCTGCGACAGTCCATTTTTAAAATATTAGCGTTATTAATGAAAGGGGTTACATGTGCACGTGGTGGTATATTGAAACAAAAGCGTGCACAGGCATTCTGTACCCGCTGTATTATTTGCCGTGTTCGAGATAATAGTCGTGGGCCTATGAGAGAATCCGCGTAATTGAATTTTGAAAGCACGATAGACTCGCAGAGATGTATACGTAAGGTGAAACTTAGGTACTCACGAATACGATAAAGTACTTTCAACCTATAAAAGCAGTTACGTGCAATATCCATTACATGTTTCTCAAAACGAAGTTTGTCGTCCATTATTACCCCCAAATTTCTGACTTCAGAGACTCTCACAATAGTTCGTTGTTTACAATAATGGCAGGGTGGCTTAGTTAGATCTTTTTTATTTGATTTGGCGATCCTAGAATAAGGTACTGCGACTTTTTTGGATTGAGAACCAATGCGTTACGCTCTGACCACAAAGATATCCGACCCAAATCCAAGTTCAATTTTGTCACTGCTACTTGAACATCACAAGGCTTAAACGATATA